AAACGGTTTTAAATTACGGTTACGATTGCAGGCATTTTGTTATTGTAATCTTTTTCTATATCGCAATCCAATTTGCAGAATTATTCAAAATATTTGTTGATTCCACAGCAAAAATACACAAAAAATAACTTTTGAGAGGGCACGGAGATAGTAAAATTTTCAAATAATAATTTCAAATAATAACTGAAATAAGTTATCAAGAGATCTGTTTATAACTTTCAACCTTTTTAAATTTTTAATATCGTTTTTTCCTAGATGGTAGAACGCTTCTAGGCATTAATAAACAAATCATTTCGTTACAAGAAAATTTTTTACCACATCTCTCAAAGTTACGCCTTTTGAGTTTAGTAAAAATTTCAATTTTCGGCACATTATATTTCCGAAACTATGGACTTTTCAAAATTTGTATTGAAATCTAATTGTAAATATCTTTAAATCAGAAAATACAATTATTTATTATAATTCCCATAAGTGAATTACAAAATCTACATTATATTGACGTTACTTTTAATATTTATTCTTTCGCCGAAAAGTATGCAATAATTTGTTATAATTTGGATTGCATAGTTTGAGTTTGTTAATGAAAATAATTTAAGTAGCATGATTAATGTTTTTCAAAAAAAAAAAATTATTTTCACTTGTTCAAGATAAAAATTCTACTTTAAAATGCATTTGCAGTTTCATTCGAATTTATTTATATGGAAGAGCAATTTGATGAATATAGTATCACCAAATGAAGAACTTATCAATTCAACCAGACTCTCTTGTTTTTCGAATGAAATTGCTTGTACAGTTTTCAACTTTTATAACATAAAAACATCACTATTTTTGTTTACATGTAAAAAATCTAATCGCATCCATTTCATATAAAAATTATAAGATCTTTATTACTTTAGAACTGCTATATGTTAATATTCAAATTGTAGCATCCATACATATATAAAAGCAAATATAGACACACTCATTATAATTTCATAAATTCGAATATAAAAAAAGAAATTTATTTCATCATATTTTCATATATATATTCGCGCATATAATATTATATTTAAATATTTATGTACATATTATGAATAGATTCAGTATATGGAAGACGACGTCATCATATTTGGTTCGATTATGATGATTTTGAAATAAAAAGTGTGGAAATTTCAACTTATTCTATTTTTATTGTTATTATTTTCTTCCCCTTTTTGTAGTTTTTCATATTTTATTTAAGAAAAGTAAATTTTCTTTTAGTCTTCGTTAAGATTTAATCGTGAAAACTTCTTACATAAAAATATTAAGAAATTTACGGAGTCTCGTCTCGATAATTAAATTATGATTATTTTGGAGAAAATTATTGGAAATTTATTTGCAAGATATTAAAATTAAAATTAATTAAAAAAATATAAAATAAAAAATCAATTGCGGTTTATTAAAAAAAAAAATTATTTTTCTTTCCTTTTTTTTTAAAGAAAAAAAACACTGAAAATAAATTTTAAATTATTTAAAAGAAAAGTGGGTGGAAAATGTGTTTTTTTTTGTTTCCTTACAAATTGAAATGAATTTAATTAATTTTTATGATATTTTGGAAATTTAAAAATTATTTGACGCAATTTAAATGTGGAAATTTTTACGTTAAGCCTAAAAGTCACATATTGGTTCAAAAATCCGGAACATTGGAAACTCAAAATGATATGCCTATTTGGTTTTAAGAGATGTGATCGAACGATTTTGATTTTAGCTATTTAATTTTCTCAAAATATGCATAATATTGGATTTCTTCGAACTCATTTAATTCTCATTTATGTCTTGAGTTCCAAAATACAGTATAGATTTCTTATTTTACTGGAACTTAAATTGGATTTCTTAATATTTTACATAAATTTCTGGAATTAATTTAAAAATCGTCTTTCTGCATTAAGGCAACCTTAAAATTTAATAAGCGATGATTAGAATACTTTAAGATTAACTTATGAAAATTTTCAAAATTTAATTATTTTTCTACATAAATTATGTAATTTATATTGAATTTGTAATATTTTTTTATTTACATAAAAGTATACACAAAAATTATTTATAGTTTGGCCAAAAAATATATAGAAGAACAAAACAGAATATTTAGATGAAAATTTAACAAAAAAAAACGAAAATAAAATAAAAATTTATTATATTGGAAAGCTTTAGAAAGTCGGTAGCAATGAATCACCATTTAAAGAAAGATTTTATACTTTGCGTTATTCCATGTATTATAGCTTTTTTTACCCCGAAAAGAAGAATAAGAGAGTAACAAATTTGAAAATGAATTCTACATCTACATCCAATATGTTTATTATTTGTTTACTTTAAATTTGTTTTTGGGGCAATCATTTTTAATTCATACAAAACTATTGTTAATGTTTACAATAAAGCATATATATACTGTATTTAATTAAAATAATTTTATTTTAAAGTCATTGGGGATTCAATGATTATGCATAATTATCACAATAACATGATGCATGACAGTAATTAGAATTGTTTGTTTATTTATTGCACACAAATTGAATTTCAATTGAAATAATTTGTTTAAAAATCAGAATTATGAAGAAAACATTATAAAGTTGTAACTTAATTTGGTTATAGAGAATAATTAAAATTAATAATCATTATTTATATGGAGTATATGAAAATATTATTGTTTTTTTTTAAATTAATGAAATTATTCCGCGAATATTTGTTTTACAATTTTTGATAAACATTTTACTGAGGAAAATTAATATGGAATTATTGTTATTTTATCATAATAAACATATATAATAGTATATACATAGCATTACATTGGAATAATATTTAAAATTAATTCGTTTCTTCATTACATTCAAGCCAAACTCATGAAAATTCGTATGTTACCATTACAAAATTTAATCCAACTTCAACCCTATTAAAAGTGATGTTGAATTTTCTTTTAAGAAAACTAACAAAATTACTTCAAAGTAACCAATTTACTTCATTGAGAGATTTAACTTTGACTCAAAATAAGACATCTTTCATTACCTTCTAAGCTACATAATTTTAATAAAAATTTTGAAGACTTCTTAATCTGTGGCAATAAAGAAGGAAATGTTTTCTGCAGAATCAAACCAGAAATGACCCTCGAAATTAATTTAATTTATAGAATATCCTATAAGGCTTTTGATATCCCTTTAATATCTTAATTAATAATGAACATTTTAAACGGAATACTTCTCTCTATTTGCCAGTACATGACTTCTTTTTGGTAAACATAATTGAAAATCAGATTGCCCATTTTAAGATGTTAAAAATACAAAAATATGTACGTGCGTTTTATATGAATTATATATGCTCATATGTATGTACATAACACAATAACGTACAATAATGAAAAAAAAGTAAATTTAAAAAAAGAAATTGTTTTATTTATTACATATTTATAGGATGATTATGTTTACATAATCAATGTATACTGTGTACATAAGTAATTTAAATTAAAAAAAATCAATTATAGCACGTATAAACAATTTGAAGGATTTCTATATTATAATAAAAGAGTTTCTAAGTAAACAATTAATTCGAAAAAAATTCAAATATCGTAAGTAGCTTTCTTCGTGATACATACATACTCATACATTCGAGACAGTAATGTAAATAATATAGGTAATATTAATTTGACTTCAAATAATTTCGATAATTTTAAAAATTATTCTAATGAAAAATATTTCTGAATCTAAAGTTTAATTACGAAAAATGTTCACACTTTAAAAATTTTAGATTTTCTTTTAAATTGAAAATTATATGGAAGTACTAGAATAAAAAATGACACACGAAAAATAATCATGTATATTTTTTAATAAAAATCTCTTACACTTTTAAAAATTTAGAATTATTTTTTCAAATAGCCGCGGCAAATAAAAGTCATTAACAAATTCCGGACAAAGTATTTTATTGAACCTTGTTACAATTCATCCTTATAAATTCCTAATCCTAAGCTAATTCAAATAAATAAAGTCTTAACTGTTATACAATTTAAAATCATCATGCTTTCGTTAAAATTTAAATCTACACAATTTGTAACTGAATCAGTGATTAATAAAATCAAAATTAAAATAAAAATTAATTAAATTCATAAGTAATTTAAACAAAATTATAAAAATGTGATTACAAGTTCATAAATAATTAAAATAAATTTTTATTTGTAATACAGAATCTAAAAGCAATTAATAAAGAAAAAAAAAACAGTAGAAAAATGTGTGAAACAGCCACTTTGCTTTCAAATCATCAAAGTTCTTTGCATAGCTGTTGGATTATTTACAGTACGAAATCAAAAAAAATTCTTTGTATTGAAAAACTTTCTTCTATACTTTAATGTTTTTAAATATAGGGTGTTTTTTTCTATTTTTGTTTGGATAGAACTTGCGAAAGGGATAATTTTTTAGGATAAAGGAGTTGTTGACATTTTAATATTTATGATCTGTAATACTCTAGAAATGAATCTACTCGCGTTTGAGAAATTGTCACCAAACGTGTTTAAATTTATAATGAAAAATTGTCGCCGTTTTGCTTAAATTATATTAATGATATTATATTCACATTTTAACGAGTTTTTTAGCACCGAAATCTGCAACTTGTTGGATTTTATACTCTGACATCATTAACTCATATTTTGTGAAAATTTAACCAGCAACATTATTAATACCTTTGAAGTATACATTATTCGTGCCATTAGTAACCAAAATTGAGGTTTCAGAACGAACTGTGTCAAGGAAAGGCGTGGTATATATATGCCATTTTCTATATAACGATGATACCAAGTAATCAATAATTTGAAGAACATCGAATTTAAATGTTATTTTCTTCAATTGCAATTGCAAGTTCTATCATTTTTATATTAATTGTTAAAAAAAAAACACCCTACGCATTCTTAATTTTTTTTTTTTTAATAACCTTTAAATCACAATATTTCTTTTGATTTTTCTTGTTTTTTTATTAATTTAAATGATTTTATTTTTTAATTTTAGCAAAAAATGATGGTAAGGAACGATTAACAATAACCGAAACGAAAGCCGTTCATAATAGAGATGATGATTCAACAATTAGAACATCATCTTTAATATCACATCAGCAACATCATAATATAAATACACAATGTGGTAGTGGGGTTAGCGCCACTAATAGTTCCGGTGTTCGTGTTTCAATAGTCGATAATCAAACATCAGATGGTTACGATGATGATTCTAATATTGATGATGCAGATGAATCATATCATTTAATATTAGATTCTGAACTTCAACCGGAAACACCAGATCCAAATAATAAACTATCACAAAAAATATTTAAAGAACATAAAAAATTAGCAAAAGAATATTTACAAGTTGATGAAGAACTTTATTATGCTAACGCTGAAAAACAAAAATTATTAGATTCAATGGAACCAGAAGAACGAAATCGAAAATTACAATTTATTAAAAAAGTGGCTGAGAAGGTATGTTGTCAATATTTGTATATAAACTTACATGTTATTCATACTCGTATACATTATGGTGTATTTGCAATTCTATAACATCCTTTCTTATTTCTTAAACAAGTCAGATAAATCCTTTTAATTTATTTAGAAGGCATTTACAATAGAACTTTCAGATTATCTATTTTTTATCGCTTGGAACCCATATTATGAGTAAATATATTTTAAAATTTTTATTTACCATGTTAACCAATTTTTTAGATGATGCCTAGCTGGACTGAATTATTCAGATTTTTCCAGAAATTTCTCCAAAAATTTTATATTTTTTATATATTTTCAATTTTAAGACTTTTAAATGATAACAATGATTACTCAATTTAAAATAAATAAAATATAATTTATTATATTCCATTTTAAACATAAAATATATGTAGATTTCTCATATATTTATATACTTGTAGATAATTAAAAAATGTTGAAATATTTAAGTGATACGAGTATCTTAAATAAATTTTGATAAAATCTCCTATCAACAACCAAAATTGTGTTATAGATTGATAGTGGGAGGTTGTAGAGAATAAAAGAAACAAAAAAATATATATATGTATAGATGATCAATAGAGAAAGAAAAGTCTTGGCATATATTTTGGCTTTTCTTATAGTGACGTAATTAAAACTAAAAGTAATACTAAGAGAGAGAAAAAAAAAGAAATATAATTTATTGGCAAACGTCAGAAATGTCAGATGTGTGATTAAATCTTCTTTTTTTTTGTTATCTTTATCTTTTTCACGTACATAAAATGAAAATTTAAGGCTATTAGCTTTTTTGAAATTAAAATCATTAATAAAACTTAGAACAAGGTTAGTGCCAAGGTTTCTGGCACACGTTCAAAAACGTGTCCCGAAAAGCTGTTATAGTTATTACTATATTAAGTGGCTAATAATGCAAATTGTTATATTAAACCGTTATATTAGTACACAGGTTACTGTTAGATAATGAAATCGTCATACAATTTGAGTATCTTTTTGAGTACCGCATACATTTGTAAACGTATGAATACGCAATCAGATAGTTGCAAAATTTGATTTTTCGAATTTATAAGCAATAATTCTACATCAAGTCTACCTATGCCTATACATATTTGCCAAAATTTCATAATAACTAAGCAGATTATTGCAAAATAATTTTTATAGTTATAAAATTACTTAATTGTTGTAACAAAAAATTACATTAAGTCCCATACCACGTTTGCAGCACTTTTAAAATTTTAAGAAATTTGCATTCGTATGCTTGTCGCTCCTTTATTTTAGCCAACTAAATATAATTTACATGTATATTATAATTTTATATTTTATTTAAGATTACTTTCAAGTCTGCATTATTATAATTCCTCGAAATATTTTTAAACATTTTTACTTTCTGCTTCTATAACTAAAACAAGAAAATTCATTTCAGAAATTTTAAATAGAAAATTTTCTATTTTCTTATATTTTCGTATAATACATATACATACATACATACACAATATTACATAAAATTTGCAAAAATTATTTCGTCATTAGGAAATTTTTATATTAATAAATTTTCTGTAATAATTTATTTTTAGAAAGAGCTAGCAGAACTGAAACAGTATTTGCAACAACAATTGGAAGAATTAAGAGAATTGCAAAGAATGCAAGAAATTGAACAGCAACAAAATCATCAACAGTTTTTGTTGCAACAACACCAACAACAATTACAACAGCATCAGTATCAACGTCAACCATCAATTGATTCAACTGACGAAAATGGTTGGGTTGTTGTACCAGGTGACCGAGGTGGACAACCTAAAGATCAATTATAGCATGTTTTGCATATATGAAACAATAAATCCTATAAATATACACGAAAATATGTTGTTCGACTAAATATATCAGCTGTGATTCGAAATTTTACAATAAAAATTATTACATAATATGTAATAATATTGAATTTTCTTCCCCATTCTATCTATCTATGTTTGTTTATAGAAAATAAATTTAAGAATAAATTTTGTAGTATTTTAAGTGCATTTTTTTATTCAATGTAATAATGTTTTTTTTTAAAATGAAAATTTTTATTGCATATTATTAAAATGCGTTAATAATTATTTAAAATTTAGTTTTATAAATAAAAGGTTTAATATAATTTAATCTTCAAGTATACCTTTATTCCCCTAAAATTATAAGATTTTTAATTTTTAAGTTAATATAATACATAATATTAAATAAGAGCAGTTTGTTTAATTTTAAGATTTATTAGTTTTAAGAAAATTTTATTAATTTTCGACTTTATTGTTATGTCGACTATAATATTTTAATTGTGATGAAAAAAAAAATTGTATCTTGTTTATTTAAATAATAGCAAGTAAATTGTAAAAAAAATTTTACTTTTTTTTTATGAAAATGTTACATTTCTTCCAAAATTATTATATTTTTTTGTAAGTTATGTGCCAATAAAATTGTTAACCGAATTTTTTAAACAATTTCAAAATATTTTAATCTCAAAGTACTAAATATCAACTTTAAACACATTTAAATATTATGTTTTCTTTAACAAGATTAACATTTGAATTCTAAAAGAATCGCTTTACAATAGAATGAAGTTTTTGGTCAAACATTATTTGGTAATACAAGTCAAGTGTGAATCTAATCAATTGATTTGTTGTTTGGGAGACATTTAATTAGTTTAATGAAAAACGTTTTAATTTTCATATAGAAAATAAAGCAATTCTTTATTTATGTGAGTTAGAGAATTCATAAAATAGGATTTTTCTATTTTTACTTATTTTAATTTATTTCCTAATTTTAAGACACCATTAGGGAAGTTGTGAAAATTTGTTTCAAAATTTGAGGTAACTGCATTAAATCCATACAAACGTAACTTCGCCCTGGTGGCATTTCTGAATTTATTCTAAAATATAAGAATATTTTTCAATACAATGTTATAATAAATATTCGTTCATAATTAGTAAGTTCATTTTACTTACGTATCAGCTTGATCACCTAAACTTCCAATAAAAATAACAAATGATTGAATTTTTGGTTCACCTTCCATCAATGCTTTTGCTAATTCAGTTGGAGGTATACCATAACGTGACAAATTTGCATCACTTAAAACAATTACTATAGAATTATCATTATCCTCTTTGGCTAATTCTTCAATCGCAAACGTTGTTGCTTTTAATGTATTATCACCTGACCAACAAAATTGGGCATGAGCGTGCATCATTTTGATGACATGAAGTCTTTCTTTATCTGTTAATGGAGGCTTCCCAGAAACAACAAACGGTTCACCTGCTGTTTCTCCACTATGTCCAACAATATCGTAAACAATTTTTTTCTCATATCCTTCAAAAGCCTCCATTACCATAATAACTGCTTCCATTTCACGTTCTAAGCGACCATCGTATCCATTAAATCTAGCAAGAAGTCGAAATATTGCAATTAATTTAAAAAATTTTTAAAAAATCAAAAAATATAATTACCTATACATAGAGCCAGAGACATCTACAACTAATTTCAAACGGTTTGGCTTTTCATTAACTTGATCGGTCCACGGACTAGCTTCCCCTCTTTTTTTGTAAATATTTTTTTCACCAGTAATTCCTTCTATTAGTCTGGTATCATCAAGTTCCCCAGATGTTTGATATTTTTGCCATTGACGCTCCTTATTTTTCGATTGAAGTGCATTTAAAACTGCTTTGATTTGTTGAACTTGTTTTCGGTTTGGTGCACTAAATTGAGCGTATATTTTGTAGTCGTGCTCTGACATTTTAATTTCTTTTAATTTTTCAGCAAATGCTTTACGATTCATTTCACGAGCTGCCTTTTTAACTTCCTCTGGTATATCATCCTTTTCAGCATCTGATAATTGATGGACTTGATGTCCTGCATCTAATCTATACGGTCCACCTTTTCCACCTAGACCAGCAGTATCTCTACCACCAGTTCCACCAGCCCAAGTATTACCACCTACATGCGGTTCATTGTTAGGGTCAATTTTACCATGCTTGGGCGAAGAAACATCTAAGCCACTTTTGCGTTCTACGGTCAATTGTATTTCCTTTTTCCTTCTTAGAACAGACAATTCGTTCTTTGCATAAGCTCCAATGTTAAGTCCATGCTTTAAAAGAACATCTGTCACTTGGTCTAAAGTTTCCGGCGAGTACCTATCAAAGTCTAAAACGTTTCCGACAAGTTCTGACATTGAATCATTTGGATATTTTTCTATATGTTTAACAATATTTACAACTTCACGTGTACTGTACGGATAATTTAAAAGCCCCTCATCAGCCATTTGACGTAATTCGCCAAATGCATTCACTAAAGTTGATAACGTTTCTCTAGGAACTGACGGTCCATATTGCTGTAACAAGTATATTTCAGATTCAGGAGAAGGATTGTCGACAGCATGGCAACTGAACACATCTCCTAATGACGCAAAGAAATCATTTCCCAGGAAGGGAAATCCAGGACGATTAGCTAAAACTATTACTCTAAAATCGGGGTGAGTTTCAATTATTCCCGCTTTATTAAACTGAGTACTTCCTTTGGGAACAATTTTTCGTCCATCTGATAAAAACATTTCCCCATTTTCCACTAAAGTTCTTAAAATACATGTCACATTAACGGGAGCTTTGTCTGCTTCATCAATCACCAATACGTGACCTTCTTTAACAGCTTTAACTAATGGACTATCATCAAAAACCACTTGACCATCTCTTAAAGTTGATTGCACCGTTAGACTATGAACTGTAGTATCACGATGTAATTGTAGATACTCCCTTGGTTTATTCATTAGTTGCAATAATTTATCTACCAATTTATTTTTTCCTACGCCTTGATTACCAACCAATAAAATATGTTCGCCAATGATAAAATCTTGTAAAAGCCTTTCTAAAAGTTCAACATGGTGTGGAATGTCGTAAAATAAAGTGCTTGGAACTTTCGACTCAAATTCCGTTTTCATTAATTTCATCTCAGTACTTCCAATTCTTAAAATGTTGTCTTTTACTTCAATCTTTTTAGTTATTTTTTTATTTCTTCTAGGTTTTTCAATACCAGCTTTTGCCATAGCATTTTCTAAAGCTGCTCTTGGTAACGCGGGCATAAATTTGGCCAAAAATACGTTTTGAAGAATTTCATATAAGGAATTCATTGAATTTTCTTCATTTCCATTTGATGGAAACACTGACATTCTATGGGCTATTTTCAACAATTGTCGTGTACTTAATGTATCTGCTAAATTTTCATGAGCTGAGTTGTTGGAATCTCTTAAAATATGAGATAACTCAATCACTTTATGCATATCTGAGTGAACGTTACCATAAAGTTCCTCAATAATTTGGACTTCCTCACTTTTACTAAGAGGCCGTACATCTTGAAATAAGAAAAGACTTAAAATTTCTGAAGTAAGCCAATTATTTGTTTTTGATGCTAAATTTAAAGTAGGAGGTTCTGCCAAAGCTATTATTCTGAAAGCTGGATGCATTGGGAAAATTCCTTTTAAAATTAAATCTTCTTTGCTAAAACCTTTTGATAAAAGGGCATCATATCTATCTTTTCGTAATAAAATTGTTCCATCACATAATTGTAGCTCTCTATCATGAACTAATCTAAAAATTTTACATAATTAAACAATATTTTACTTAATTAAATTAGTATTCAATGCGTATAATTAAGTTATAATATTTATTTACATATCATTAAAGAGAATATATAAAGTGTTACATAAAAAAAATACCTTTGCAAAATTGACGCTGTGCTTTTATGGAGTCGATCAATTCCATCAAGAACAGCCACACTTCCATTTACGGCTGCTCTAACTAAAGGCGAATCCCTCCAAACAGTGTCCCCTTTGACTGTTGTTATTCTTTGTTGTATAAAGTCTCTAGAAGTCATGTCTTCATAAAGCACCATTGGTTCTATAGATTGTCCGATTTGTCTGAGAATTTGATTGACTAAGGTAGATTTCCCAACTCCTTTTGGTCCAATTAGGCAAAAATCACCAGCAGAATACATACGATACATAGATCCCAATATATTTCGTTGATGATCTAAGTCAACGAATCCTTTTTTAATTTCATTACTCAGTTCATTTTTTCCACCCAAAATTTTTATTTCATTGCCATCAATATTTATTGTTATTGAATTATCTTCTGCAATTTTTTCACCTACTTTTAATGTGCTTATCGGTTTATTAGTTTTCGAATCAATTTCAAACTGTTCGAACAAAGTCTTCACCCGCCCCAAATTTTCTTTAGATAATGCAAATCTATATGGGTATAATGAACATATAGCTTCATGTACTGAAATATCTGAATTATTGTTCTAAAAATTCAATAATTTGAATAAGTATTTAAATAATTCGATACACATATAATTTACCATTATTTTTGCAATCAAATGAAGATTATCGATCGGAAAATCAGGAACATTTGCTGTTGGCTCTGAAGCATGAATTGCCAATCCAAAAGAAAGAATTTTTTTTAAATCATATTCGTTTGCATTTGGAGCGATTTCTTTCAAATCTTTTAAAATCTCTTCAAAGGATAAATGAGTTATATTTCTAGACTGAAATCTGGATCTTAATGGCGGATCCAATGGTGTTCCTTTATACTTTTGGGTTGGAAGACCAAGTGCTATTATTCTAAAATCTTCAGATACTCTAATTAGTCCCCACTTATCCAGTTCTGATTTCGAATATTCCTAAAATTAATTCAAAGTAATAAAAAAAAATTAAAATTTTATGCTTTTGATTATTAGTTTAAATTTAATCTACTTTTAATAACTTATCATAGCGTTCAGGTGCCATAAGAAATTTTCCATTTTCTAAATGCATTTCTCGATTTTCTAGCAAATTATTTAAAATCGGTAAAACATTTCTTTCAGCATGTTCAACACCATCTAAAATTAAAATTCGTCCATTTTGAGCTGCTCTAACAGCACACTTAAAAAAACAAATTTTTATTTAGAATTCATAATCCACTAAGTGTACAAAAAATTACTTGATCAAAATAAATTGCTTCTTTATCTTTTATTTCTCTTCTTTGTTTTAAATCACTTTCGGTGGTATCGCGACTCAAAGAAAGATATTCAAGCTCTCTTTGGGTAAGTTGCAAAAACTGCATAGCCAAATTTCTTCTTGATGGACCAGGATATCCCAAAAGAAACATATCTTGTTTTAAATTATCTTTTTGAAACATCCATCTTAAATTATGCAAAGTAGATTGAGAAAATTTTAAAGCTCCATTTTTATCTAATTTAACTAAAATATACAATATCGTTGATTTTTATAATTAATGCATCTTTACATAGATATAATTTTATATATTTAACTTACTATAGTTTTGGGGAATTAACTCGGGATTTTTTGGTGTTTTTACATCCTTTGTTACATCACCTATAACAATTCGACCTTCGCCCTCAATGTGTTTCGTGCAATAATATACAGTATTATATTGACCTAATTTAAATTTTCTAAAAATATTACACTTTGTTATACTAGAACCGCTTAAACTACGTTTTAAAAACATTTTATTTTACATTAAATCTTAATTAAATATACAAAATTTATTTTACAAATTAAAAAAGCCAACCAGCAGCAATAACAACAGAAGGAAAGTATGACATGAAAACTTTAATTGATAAAATCAAAATCAGCTGGTAATGTCAAAGGTGATGACGTCACAACTAAAGAAAACTGAAAAAACGCACGTGTATAGAAAAAGATGCAAGATATAGATCGTAATATAAAGAAGAGAGAACGCAAGAAAACAAACATTGAAAGAGAAATATTTTTTTTTAATTGTAGAGCAAAAACAGAAGCAAAAAAAAAAAATTCTTGTTTTCATATTTTTCATCCACCTTTTTATCAATACGTTCGTTCTCGCAAGTAAAATCAAATAAACGATAAGTTTTATGCTCTTTATATTTTATCGTGATAACGGTCTAACATTTTTGAAAATCTTTTTATATTACAATATTCTATGAATTTTTTTTTGTGCTCAATTTAGATTTCAGTTAGTTTTAGAAGAGATTGTTTTAATTTTTATATTTTATTGCATTTTACATTTTACAGAATATTTGATATTATGTAAGCATTATACGTTAAAAAGTAAATTAAAGAAATAATCAGAATATTGAAATAATCAAGAGAATTAAAATAATCAAATCATACAAAAAATTTGAAGAATCCTTGAAGAATTCAACGTTTTTGAATATTTTTTCTAATTTTATTAAATTTATTTGAGCAATTCTATCAAACTCTTTTAATTTGAAATGTTTTGCATTTAAGTTAAATCAATATTTAACTGTGAATACAGCTGGATTCATTATTTCATCATACTGTTCCAGTGAATCCAGTTGATCTTCGCAAATTAATAAATTCTTTATGACAATATAGCTCAAAGTGTGGGAAGAAATTTTGTTCTAGAATTTTTGCAATAACGGAAAACTTTGTCAACTTAAGTCTTGAAGTTTGTCTACGTCTAATTGGGCTCTTGAAATTTCAAGGTCAAATTTAATACTTGAATTTTGTTTGCCCACTCTTTGAAAAAAATAGTTTTGTGAAATTTCAGATTTGTATATTAATGAATACGACAATATCTGAATATAGTGTCATATTCATTTATAACGAATTTATTAGAACTACAGTAACATATAATTTTTTTTATTGAACATTTTCTATTTAATATTTCAGTTGCAAGTATTGAGTATGAGAGTGTTTATGGCTTTTACTTTTCTCACTTAGTAACCAAAACGCTATTCAACCTATACATGACCGAGCCAATTTCATTTAAATATATTTAGTTGGCTTTATATAGCAAAGATAATAATTATTTATGAATTGAGCTCTGATGGCGTATAAAATACATATATAAGTTTAAATTGTAATTGAGTATACCAGCAAAATCCGGGGGAAAACATATATTCTTCGCTTTTCTATTATTTCCGCTAATTATTTTATTACATATACAAGTTGTAGGTAATTAAAGCAATAAATGTATGTAAAATGCTCTTTTAATATATCATACTAATATTACATGCAACTCATTATTCATGACTTTCTCATTGATAAGATAATATTGTATTTACATGACGCAATTTAATAAAGTCGAAAAAACACTAAACAACGTTGCAAAACTTTTCAAATTAATTATTCAAATAGAATAAATATGAAAAGTTCTACTTCCAAACCGTTAATTGTTATTAACTTTATAAGCATTGCAATTCAAGCCCAATAATTGCAAATATTTTCTTAAGAAAATATTGCAATCTAACATGTTTTCTGTTATTTACTTAAACGTTCAATGAAGATAAAATATGTGATATACCCAATACGACATTATTTTAATCTCTTGGAATGCACCATACACACATTTTATGTATCAATACCCTAATATACTGTTAATAAAATTAAATAAATTACATATTAATAAATTCCAAACATTTTTAGAAAATAAAAAAATTATTTTTATTTTATATTCAATTATAAAAATATTTCTCTTTAAACACAATATTTTTATACATAAATAAGGTGGACGAACTAGACTTGTGGTATATTTTATATCAAATTTAAATACACACATCGCATCATATCAAAACTTATAAAATGTTAGATAATATTTTATTTTAACAACGATAAAATTATTATTTTTAAAATTTATACTTTTCAAAATGCTCATACGAATATGTATATGCTATATAATCAAAATATACTATAGAAACACACATTATATACATTCGTAAAATTCATATAACAATAATATTATGAGGAAACCAAATAAACCGCGATTATCTTCCGCTCCCAAGTAAAACCGCTAAACATTTCCAACTGAAAAAAAAACAAAACAGAAAAATAAAGAATGAATTTCCAAATTCTATAAAAAAAAATAATAATAATAAAAAATATATGTTTGACTTTGCAATTGCAAAAAAAAAAACTAAAAATTTATAAGCATATAATGAGAAAAAAACAAATCAAAAACAAAATATACTGCACCGCAAGACAAGCGCCAGATATTCTCGCATTTTTATTTATTATCATAAAATATTATTATTGTGCAACTTGTTGCGCCTATCAATAGACAAACAAAATATGCTTATATTAGATAAAATCATAAATTTTATATTAATGTAAACTATATGTATCTAAATATGTTGGCGAAATTTCTCTCATCATTTATCTTTTATTTACTTTTTGTAAAGTCAATTATTATTTTTAAAGAAATTTTTTAATTAAAAATAAACAAATCCTAATAATAATATTATTCATACATTTGTTTTCTTTATTTTATTTTTCTTTAGGATAAATTAAAAATTTTCACAGCAGAGCACATGTTCGTTAATATTAATTTCATAATTGAAATAAAATTAAATAAAATCCCACAGAATTCTTATCAGTTTTTGTCTATAAAGCAGAATGCAAATATTATAATGTGCTTATAATAATCTCAGAGAAAACCAGTGACGAAGCATTTATATTGATATTCAAATGTGAAAATTCAATGTGTATTGTACATAATATGCTCATATATTTTAGTAGCTAATATTTTATATTATGCCGGATTCAAAATGAGAATGAAATATTTTTTCTATTTTCAAGACTCTTTCTGATACTTATGTTGAAGCTGTTAAATATGACACAATAAAGCTTACTTGCTTTACAGAAAAAAAAGATAAGCATTCGAGAAATTCATAAATTTTAGTAAATTTCATCTAGTTTCATAAACTTCAAATTATTTTTCGAAACTAATAATCTTTTTTAATAAAGAGGGCAATACTACATTTAAAAAAAAACTTTAATAAGAAATGGGATTTTTTAAGTACATCATGTAACACGACCCTGCACGACCATATGGTAATGATATCGAATATTCTAAAATTTGTGAAATTTAGTTCTTATTCTATTGAACCGCATTTATATTCTTTGTAAAATTTTCAAAATTTTCTCATATTTAATAAGAACGTCACTGATATTTGCAAGAAACCACTGATAATTTTTACTTAATTATTATTTTTTAAATATTGTATTACAATTTAAGTGATTCGGTGAGAAAATTTTATGGTTTTGATAAGAAATATTATGTGAATATCTAAAAAAATTTAATTTGAGAAAAAAGAATAAAAGAAAATAATTACAAAATTTATTTTCTATCAAAAGTCGCTTAAATTCATTTCAGAACTTAAACATTGAATTAATCAATTTTATACCACACGGATTTCACATAAATGTCACATGTTCATCTGTAAAATGACTTTTTTAAGTATTTCATCTGAGATTTTCAATTTATACGACTATTATTCCAATAGAGTTTTTGCTGCAACTTAATATTACATCATAACTCCATGATATAAGTTCCTGAAAAATGTCGACTTTATATTAGGAATCTCTTGAAATGAAAAAATACTGTTGTTTCCAGTTATTCGCTGTGTAAAACGAGAATTTCAGGGCCTTGAGAATGAGTAATGGAAAAGTTCATGGCCTAAAAATTGGTTAACATTATATTTCCTGTGTTATGTTATGGGAAAGGAATGCTTATTTCAGGAGGTAACCTTTTGCTATAACTTGAAAAGAAAGACGAAAAGCTGAAAATATCCTTTATGATTTTTTGTTTTCTCTCGGTTTGGATCAGAAACAACATCATATTAATAATCTTCCATTTATTACTCGCCTCTACTACTCGATATCATACATTACGTGTTGTAATTAGGTACATATTATGTATCACTGGATTTCCAGTCACCACATCCAGGCTCTCACATCGCGGGTCAGTTTAAGTTTATGATTATCTTGTCAGTCTTTATTTTTTTTTATTTTATTGAATCTTTAGTTTTTTTGAAAGTTAGTTGAACTTTTCCATTAAAGTTTGGCAGACCTAATTCTTTAAAATTTCTTAAAATAAAACAAAAATATCCTATATATTAGTAACACTAAAAAAAAACAAATAAAAAACATTGTTTACAAGCATGTAGCACAACAAAATTCATTTGTATTTATTTAATATTAAACTTATTAGGTATTTTTAAATACGTTGATTTGCTGTAAAAGAATTTTTACTTCAGAAATTCGGAATGAAATTAAACTTTAAGAAATTTAATATGTATTTAGGAATATTAACTAAGTCGAAATTTATACTATGGCTGATTGAGTGCAGAACCTTATTATTAATTGCAACGAATATCCTAAAGCTTATAGAATGCGTCCCTGATTTTCTTAGTTTGCAAAAATTTTGTTAAATAGATTTAGTAAAAGTTAATCTTACTCTTCTTTTGCTTCTCCAATTTTCGTACATGTATAATGCAAACTTTTTCTTATAATCAAGATGCTGTGTCCAACGCAAGGACAATTTAATTCAAAAATTTAATATATACACATTTCACTGTACCTATAATTTTTTATTTAAATAATCTTATGATTTAATCAAACTGCAATTTCCTGAATCATATTTTAATATAGTAAACTTAAATTTTCAATAATTTTTTAAAATTCTACATGTAATATTAAAAACTTTATTTAGAAAAAAAATGATTTGGTACCTGGAATTCCTGTTTTCTTGCGAACTTTATTATCGAATTAAATATTGTAGAACATAAATTAGTTCAGACG